TATATATATATATATATATATATATATATATATATATATATATATATATATATATATATATATATAGTATGAAGCGGACCTGATTGTGTGGGTGGAAGTGGGGGTGCCAGAGAGCATCAGCAGCAGCAGCATTGACTCTTCTTTCTTTTTTTCTTTTTTTTTGTCTCCTTTCTTCGCTGTCGCTCTCGCTGCTGCTGCCGAAGGCCAGGGCTGTCTCTGTGTGCCGCGGCAGCAGGGGCCCCCTATAAACATCCTTGAGAAAGGTGTGGATAGGTAAGAGTTTGTATTGTTGCTGCGGTGCTGCTGCTGGCGCTGCGGGGATTGCTGCTGCTGCTGCTGCTGCTGCTGCTCCTGATGATGATGATGATGATGATGGTGCTGTTGATGCTGGTCCTGCTGAAGTGGCTGCTGCTGGCCCCGCTGCTCCTGCTGCTGCTCCTGCTGCTGCTGCTGCTGCTGCTGCTGCTGAGGGCGCTGTCGAAGGAACAGAGGGACTGGGGGGCTCCAAACCCTCAGGCAGTTGCTGCGGCCTCGGCAGCTGTCGTTGCTGCTGCTGCAGCTGCTGCTGTAGCTGCTGTTGCACCGGCTGCTGTCGCTGTTGCTGCAACAGCTGCTGCTGCAACAGATGCTGCTGCAGCAGCTGCTGCTGCAGCAGCTGCTGCTGCTTATCCAGAGGCCCAAATTGCTTCCCAGCTGATCTAATGTCGCGGTGCTGCTCCTGCGGTTGCTGCACTAGGATCTGCTGCTCTTGGTCCTGCAGCTGTAGCAGTTGCTGCTGCAGCAGCTGCTGCTGCAGTTGTTGCTGCTGCTGCTGCAGGTGCTGCTGCTGCTGCTGCAAATGTTGTAGCTGCTGCTGTTTCGCCAAGGCCTCCAGCACAGCAAATACTGCTTCCACTTCCCCTGCTGTTAACGCCGAATTCTGAGTCTGTTGCTGCTGCTGCTGCTGTTGTTGTTGCTGCTGCTGCTGCTGCAGTGAAAGAGCAGTAGATAGCAGGTCAACCAGCTGCAGCAGCAGCTGCGTGTTGCTGCTGCTCGGCGGTGCATTGGCAGCAGCAAGCACCGCATCAACAAGCACGGGGAGCTTTGGCAGGGGCTGCCGCTGCTGCTGCTGCTGCTGCTGCTGCTGCTGCACTGAGGGGGCCGGCCGAGTGTCAGGGAGAGCTGCTGCTTGCTCTGCTAGCAGCAGAAGCTGCTGCTGCTGCTGCGCATCCTACAGGCAAATGAAACACACAACAGCAACACAAAATACACCTCCTGAGAAGCAGATGAAGACAGAAAAAATATGCTGCTGCTGCAGCGCATGCAATGTGCTGCTGTTTCTGCTGAGACTACGACTGTTGCTGCTGCGGCTGCGTCTACCATTGCTGCTGCTACTGCTGCTGCTGGCGCTATGGCTGCTGCCTCTATTGCTGCTGCTGCTGCTGCTGCTGCTGCTGCTGGTGCCTCACCATGGTTTTCTGGAGCCAACTGCACCGCCCCGTGAAGACGCCCTCGCGTGTATATGTTTCTCTTGTCTTTGCTTGCTGCGGAGACAGCAGAAGACAAAATAAATATGTTGGTTATACAGCTGGGATATCTGCATGCAAATTCTACTTTTTCCAGTTCTATAAGTTTCAGAGACAAGGGGTCGGGGGCCCCCAAAGAAATGCGGGGGGCCCCCGTGCAGCTCGTGTTGTTTGCTGCTGCTGCAGCTCTGAGCTGCTGCTGCTGAGCAGCAAGCAACGATGAGGGGAGGGGGAGGAGAGAGCACGGACACCCCGAAATTTGACAAGACAGACAGAGAGTGAAAGAGAAAAGAGAAGAAAGTGAGTGAAGTATATGAAGAGAGGAGCAGGAAGAAGCCGCGTACCTGTCGATACACCCGAGCAAGTGGGGGGAGAGGCGCCTCGGGATCGGGTTGCGTCCGCCTCCCAACAACCCACGCAGGAAAATACAACACTTGTGCTGCTGCACCGTCTAGAGGAGAAAGTGGAACGTCGTGAGGAGGTAAAAGCCCCTAAAACTTAACACAGTGGCGGGCTAGACCGGGGGCGGCCTGGGTACCGACGCAGTGCTTCTTGCTGCAGTGAGGACCTTCTGTGGAGAAAAGGTCACGAAATAACGTAAATCTACAAACCCCAAACCCTAAACCCTAAACCCTCAAAAGGGGGAACAAATCCATCAGAAGACAAGAGACGGAGGGGTCCTCTACGCTCCCACCAGGTTCTCCTGCTTCTTTCTTTTTCCTTTAGCAGCCCCAAATACACTCAACCCTAATGCCGAAACCCCATCCAAATGCCTTTTGAATAAAGAGCAGAGAAAATAAGGCCACAACAAACCCCGAAACTGGGTCGAGGGAGGCGACATTCAATGGCTACCCCAGCACTGGGTCGCAGTGCGAGAGAGGTGTGCATACACCCCGACACTGCGTGGTGAGGAAGACACTTATACTGCTGTAGTAATGAACATAGAAACCATTGTATTTCCTCCTTATTGATTGATTTTCAGAGTTTTATACAGCTTTTGTTGGGTTTCCGTTGCTTGTCACTAGCCCGTCTACCCCATAGACACTCGGGCGCAGCCAGCAGTGTCCCCTCTTGCCTCGGTCTGTTCCCAGTATATCCTCTCATATGTTATAAAAACAAATATATTTATATTCCTCAACTCTTTGGCGTTATTCCCCCCAACAACCACCAACACTACGCCTCAGCCGTGTCCCCACCATAACACCCAAAAATATTTACATTCATACTGTCACCTGCTTGCAACTACACTTCTCACTGCGAGTTCATATTTCTTGCTTACCAATCATGTTTCCGGTATCATCAGTCCCTATGGCTGACACTTATAAGGCAATGGGGAGAGCGTATACACGAAGCTAACTCCTCCATTCTGCAGTAACCCAGTAGGGGATGCACGGCGTTGCGCCTCTATATAACAGGTCGATGCCTGTAGCCTGAGCTGCACAAGTTTACTCGCAAAACCCTTTCCCTGCATCTATATGTAACTGCAAACATCTTCTGACTCGCATTGCTAAATAAATGAATAGG